CGAACCCAGGACCCTCCCAACAGACTGTCCACTGAGCCAAACCAGCTAGAGCTCAAGATGTGGTTTTAAATGCTTATAAATATTATGTACATTTATATAACAAGATGTGACTTTCAATACTTATCTATATTCAAAGAATACATTATAGGTACCTCTTAATGGTGAATTAAGCTTGAATTTCTAAAGGAACCAAGCAGGCTGAAAGAACTTTAAAGTTTTCAGCATAAACTACAGAGTAGCCCTGTAGTTTGGGGGCCGCATCCAGTGATAGAGCCACTGTTCAATGACATAGGAGAATCAACCCAGTGTGATTTTCACAGAAAGGATACAGTGGAAACTAATGCATACTTACATGTGAAAAGGGAATTTCATTTTCAAGCACATGTAAGTATAATCAGTTGTTATCATAAAGGAAAGGAATATAATAGGTGCTCATAAAATAACTTACACTGACATTTCCCATGTAAAATTTATTGTAAGAGACCTGAAATATAAGGGACCAGCAACACTGTGAGGTAAAGACTTGAAATATGCACCAAGATTAAATAGATTCACATCCCAGCTCTGCTACATACCAGCCACCCTTTCTGTACCTTCATTTCCTCAGTTATAAAATGGAAATAAAAAGTAGGACCAACCCACAGGGGTATTAGATAAATGAAGTGAGGTATAGATGCACAGCATTTAGAATGGTGCCTGGAACATAGTAAACACTCAATAAATATTTATTTTTTTATCTTCTTTTTCTCCTCCTCCCCTTTCTCCTCCCCTTCTCTACTTTTCCTTCTTTCTCTTCCCCTTCTGGAACAAGCATACTAATTGATTTGACTGATGTATTAATCTAAACTTAATACTATAAATATGGAACCAGCAATATTTCAGTTGGAGATATGTAATATTTACAATGGTTCTTCTGAGTTTTTGTATTCAGCCACTTACAATAGTTAATTCATACTGTGTTTTATTAAGGGATCTACACTCACTAGATATCATTCCTTTTGTTCACTTTTTTTTTTTTTTTTTATGTTCTTTTCTCCAAGTTACCTACAGAGCTTAGGATGCTCATTCAACTCTGAAGGATGATAAAAAAAACAAAAACTTTTCAATCAAATTTCCAGAGGCTCTGCCTAGACTATTCTAAAGGTTGCAGGAATCTCAACGCACAATTGAAGATTCACCAGGAGCGATTCAGCCGCCTGTAACTCAGTGTGGGCCCTGTCAATGAGAAACGCTGTTGTATGCTTTCTGTGTCTAGCTGCTCAGAGGTATTTTATGCTTTGATATCAAAGATGAAAGAAAACTGCTGGAAAGTGAATGTATGATCATGGCGGCTGTGGATTCTACAATACTAAGAAAATACACTATTTTTCCCCATAGACATGTCCTAGAAAGACTCAGAGCCCAGGTAATCTCACACCTAAAGGACGAGATATGTAAAGGCAGTCATGGTTCCTAACTGCATATTCACTTCTTTTTCAGAGAAGTACGGACCTCTGAATTAAAAGACTTTTTTCCTTTATTCTAATTGTTGACATTATTACTGATGTCCCTTTCCCTCCCCTCTCCCCCACCCCTCCACCAGGCTTATTCTCCTCCACCCAGCCCTCACCCTCCCTTCCCTCTGGCCTCATCACACTGTTGACTGTATCTATGGGTTATGCCTATATATGTTCTTTGACTAAACTAGAAATTTCAATCGAGAAATAAAAGGTGCTAAATGTCTTTACAACAATGTATAACAGTTTACAAAAATTTATTAGCTTGCATTAAACATTTTTCAATAAATGTGAGAAAACATTTAAATCAGGCTCCCTTTTTATTATTAGCTCTATTTTGCAAAATGTTAAGCTGGCGGCAACAGAGAAGACAATTCTGAACTCTTTTTTTCAACACATTTAATTAAATAATAAAGTTAGATTTAAATTGGCAACTCTTCCTGCATCTCCATATTCCATAAAATAAAAAGCAATGCTAGCCTGCTATCTTGATGAATATGCTATAAAACATAATGTGTGATTTTTATTAAATACTGTTTGGAAAGAAAATTTACCTTAATACTGATCATGCTAGTCTGCTCTAACTGTATTTTTAGAAAAACTATTTTATAAACAACCTTGGAGATAAAGAGAATTCCAGTATATAGACATATTTGAACTCTCATGGTGATATTTTAAAATTCTGATGGACACCTCCTGCATATCAATGATCTAAGTATCACCTGGAAATCCAAGTAAACTGTCCTAATGGAACAAAAATGAAAAAGGCCTCCCCTATAAATGTTCAAATTTACTTAACTTGGTTTCTCAGTGTCATACGGTAGTTCTAATGTCCTGAATTAAAAAAAAAACAAACTCCAGTTTTATGATTCCTTGCAGCTTTAAACAACACTAAGGAATGTCCTTGGAATAACTGGCAATATTCTAGGAACCTATTTTCCAATGTGTGCTCGACAAAACGTTAAGTCTAAGAGATGCTACTTATAAAAGTATTTTATGACCAAACGAGAAATGCTATCTGTTCCATCTTTATTACCACCTCACAGTTTCCTTAGAATGCACGCTCTCTGAAAGCAAGGGACTTGTCTAAGTTTTGGTCTCTGCCATAGTCCTAAGCCTGCAACAATGCATCCCTGTTAGCAGAACAAATGAAAACGAGTTAGCAAAGGAACATTAAAAGCTCTGATTGATTCTCTAGCCAAGCCACTTTCATTTTTCTCTCACCCAGAGTACCTCACACCTTCTTAATCATAGGAATCTTTTGTTTATTCTGGTAGCACTATAGACTATTTTATTTAAAAAATAGAAGAGAGTATAGAGAAAATTATAATAACAAACATGTCACCACTACCCCTTTGAAGAATTAAATGTTACAGATACAACAAAAGCCCCTGGGGAGCCGTCCTCCATATTAGTCACCTCAGGCTCCACCTCCCCCTCAAATGAGGTACTCCCACCATTAGGGTTTATACTCCCATGGGATTTACTAACATCCCACTTTGAAAAATCCTGAACTGAGAGAATGGTAGAGTCTCTTTAAACACTAAGATTTAAATTTATTTCTTGATAGAATATAGTTTGCAAATGGTCAGCTGTAATATCCACTTACTCCATTAATACAATGAGTAAAAAATAAATGAAATAACACTGATATAGAAGCAAGACAATGAACAACTGATGTAATAATGATAAATATAAAGAGAATAAGTAGCTTATTTTGCAAATAAGCTGATATGAAATATCCTATATAAAAAGAGCTAATAAATTGACCAAATGGTGGAACGACTGGTTGCTATGGTGCACACTGACCACCAGGGAGCAGATGCTCACACAGGAGCTGCCCCCTGGTGGTCTGTGCACTCCCACAGGGGAAGGGCAACTCAGCCAGAAGCTGGGCTCAGTGCAGTGGCTGTGGCAGGAGCCTCTTTTGTCTATGGGGCAGTGTGAAGCCCTCAGTCAAACATCCCCAGAGGGCTCGAAAACTGCAAGAGGGCGAAAGCCAGGCTGAGGGATCCCTCCGAGTGCACAGATGCTGTGCACCGGTTTCTAGTAAATATGTATATCTTAGGTCACTGTACACATACTTAAGAAAATGTAGAGACATTTGCTATTTAACCTAGACTAAGTAATCTGGGAGCCACCTGTACAGTTATAGAGAAAAATATCCTAATAATTTTGACATACTCACAAAATCACCTGGAGCTGCAAAAGTAAAACTGTGTCTAGATCAATGTCACAGCAGGCCCACATTTACATAAAAGATGCTGCTAAGAAGAGACTCTTTTCCTGAGCTGAATAAAGTTACTAGTAAAGAATCTCTTTTATGAACCAGCATACTATGATAGGGAAACACAATGAGCTAACAAAGTTTAATTAGGAAAAATACCTATTTTTAAAATTTTAGTCAATATTTTTTATAGCCTTGTTTTGGTAAAACCTTTCTTCCTCAGATTTTCAAGTACCATTATAGATATTTCTAAATTGACTTAGACACACTTTAAGTATGCTTTAGCTAAAAGTTCTTTTGCAAATTTAATTTTTGTGTCTTGCTTCTGATAAAAGATAAAAAAGGCCTAGCACAATATATTTCTACATTGTTGCATTTCCTAATTTTATTTATCAAAGATATTGAATATTCAATTTAGTGAAAGAAAAGCACACACAACTGAACTTAATACCTGCTCTGGGTAGAAAATCACATCCACAATTAAACCAAGAATCAGAGCAGGGGTGGAGGACGGCCAACCTGCACACTTTATAAGCCCTCGAAAGCATTTGGTCTGGCCCTGCCACGGCATTAGGAGCGAATTCATTAAATATTTGATCATGTATAGCAGGCTGATTTTTAAGTTGATACTTTTGAACAGCCTGAGAATAATGTTATAAATATCCAAATGGCCCTTGGCAGAAAAAAGGTTCCCTATCTCTTAAATGAGCAACAAAGAATATGAGATGTGCAGGGTATATTAGCCCTAACCCTCTCAGTCTTAATCCATGCTATTACCCCAATACTACGTACACCGAAACAATAAGCACAGCATACACAGTTTTCATTGGTCATTAGTCCCTTGTAGTTTTTATAGTAGAAGGACTGAAATTTCTTTCTACTCTCTTTTAAAAAATATATATATTTTATTGATTTTTTACAGAGAGGAAGGGAGAGAGATAGAGTTAGAAACGTCGATGAGAGAGAAACATCGACCAGTTGCCTCTTGCACACCCCCTGCCCGCAACCAATGTACTTGCCCTTGACCGGAATCAAACCTGGGACCCTTCAGACCGAAGCTCTATCACTGAGCCAAACCAGTTTCGGCTCTTTCTACTCTTGAAACCATTTTACTTTTCAAACCAACACACTGAATTCTTCTCTTGTAAAATACCAACAGAAAGTGAAATGTAACCTGACTCTTTATTCAGAAGCCCCAAAGTCCTTTCTCAGGTTAAAATCAATGAAATGGATTAGTATCCAAAAATATTTGTAAAAGAAAAAGTGTTAATTCCTACCTCCATTGTCTTTTAGATGCAATGCTATCTTGGTATCATCTGAAAGAGAAACTCAAAGTTATTACAACAGAAAAAATTTAGAAGTACATAAATCTCAGGAGCAATAATTGTCCACTGATGTTTTAACGATAACGTGAATAGATTTTAACACTCCAGTGAGTTAATTTCTTGTTCAATGAGAGCAAGTCCTAGCTTATACGAGGTAGTACTAAAATTTCTTCATGAGATCAAGACTTACTCAAGTATTATATGATTAAGATCTCTGAGAAAGGTACATTGCTATAATTGTAACTTAAAATACATTTATTTTTAATTTTCAAAAATGAGCAATTGTAATTAGATTTTATAGTATGATTTGTTTATCATTAAAAAAATAAAATAAAGAAAATTTCAAATTAATTGGAGTAGTAATGATTTGCCAATATTTACAAATTTAACTTAAAAATTTAAATGCTTGTTCATTGCTAATAAATATGTCCAACATCACATAAAAATATATTGACTTCAATGGGTAAAATGTAGGTCATACTTTTTTGTTTCAGTGGTTATATTTTATTTTATAGGATAGGATTCAAACTGTAGGAATATTTCATAGGGTAGGTTTCAAATTGCAAAAATATTTTCACAGGCTATATAACAACCTAAATAAATTGGATTAAAATATAACATTGGTATTAATATCTAAATAAATGTATTTAATAGTTGTCCTCTTCCTCACTATCACTTCATTCTAGTTAATTTTTGATATCCAAGTAAATTTCAATGAAAAGCAAAGGCTTCTAGTTTTATTTTTTATTCAAATGAAAGCAAGGTTTAGTACAGTAAAGAAGTGACACCATTTTTTCTACTCAAAGCTTACTTTTGGCGAACTAGTCTCATATTTCTCTTTAGTGATACCATTCAGAATACTAGCAAACTTTGGCTCATATTCCTCTTCCCCCAGTGAATTGTACCCATGCACTAATGGACTCTGGTATGTTTTTCTCCCTTGGCAGAGGAGAGAATCCCAAGGATAATTTCTGTGACAATTATAGTGTCTTCCACAGGCAATGGACCAACATATTTTATTGATTGTATCCAAGCAAATATTAGAATTGCAGATGAGTTAGAATTATGTGTTGTTCAGAATCCAAAATCAATGAATATTTTATATAAATTTGTCTTCATACCCTGTGTCTAAAATGTAGAATTCAGTTACTTCAAAGTTTAGCAATATGAAAGGAAGTCTATATTTCTTTTCTAGGGAGGACAGGCAGACCACTATTGAAAGGCAAAGTATATTAAAAGGATCCTAGCCCATATTTTTATTCCATAATAATTTTGTCTTTTCCCCTTTAGAAATCTAGTTTGCTAAAAAAATAAAATAAAAATTCCCTCTAGAGAACAACTCTCCAGTCCGTGTTAACACCATGAGTTTGCACCTTCTGTGGGCAGGCTGGTGGGCAGCTGGGATGTCGCTGCTCCTCTGGTGGTTGTTAAGAACTTAAATAGCACAGTTGTTGCTTGCGTTGTTGTGCTGGTCTGGGAAGAACTTTCCACTGGCTCAATGGTCTCACACATCTTCTCCTTTGACTAATAAAAGAAACAAGTGGGAAAACAATTTATGAGGGATTGTGTATTATTTTAAATTACATCAATGGAAGTTGGTCTGTAAATCACAAAAGACTCTCAAATCAGCATGAGGGATATATTTTTGTACAGGACTATATTTAAGGATTAGTTCATTTACAAAGTATGTAAAATAGATGAGAGAATAAGTTGGATGTAAAAAAGCATTTCCATCTTTGGATTTGAATTTCATCATTTTCTGCTGATAACGTTTCTGTTTACATAATACTGCTGTTAATCTTGTGCTAGCTTTTATATCAGTATATGTGTAAAAGACATGATGTCAAAAAGGAAAGGTTATGCAAGAAGGAAAACTTGTACATGAAGATAAGGTTTAAAACATATTTAGGTATGTGAAGAAAAAAATGCATTCTTTCCATATCAAACTGATAATGACAAATCTAAAAATTTGGTGACTGCTCCCTACTACTTCTATTATTATAACAATAATCCCCCACTGATTGGGTATTTAAAATTTGTTTTCCTTTGTAAAATGTTGAAACCACTCAAGTGAAGGATTGAGCAACACTCATGTAATAAACCTAACCTATCTTTTCCATAGCAGAGCTTCACTGAGGGCAGCAAGGAAAGGCACATGTTGTACTTTTCACCCATAGTCTATGAAAATAAATCCTACACCTTTCACCAGTAGCAATACTCAACATTCACACTTTTATGATGTGGAAGTTGGTATTTCTCCCCACCTCTTTGTGTTTTGAAGAACTCCATCCCTCACATGAGCCTTGAGGAAATATCAGACAATAACTATTCTGACATGGAAGGTACTCCTCCCACATTTGAATTTATTATTAAATAAATACTCCTATAGTCATTAGTGAAGTAAAAGACACTTAACTACTGCTTAGAATGAGTTCCTGAGATGGCTTCCTTTTCGCTAATTGGATATGACACAGGTATCTTCTATACTTTATCATCCTGGGACCCATTCATTACCCTAATTTTAGTTCCTGTATTTTCTCAACCCCAAAGATCTCATGATCACTTCTTGATTCTACTTTAGTTATCATCTCCATATTCTGGACCTTATCTGCATTTGAAAATAGTTTACCTCTGAAATAATGACTCCAGTTACTCTATTTTCAGCTAATCTGTGTACCTGTGCACTCAAATTCTTCTTATCCTGTGATTACATAGAATTATTATCTTCTTTTATGTATTCTTTTTTCTATCACATCAACTTCTCTTTTCAGTATCATGCATCTTTACTTATTCTTCTTTCCATATTACCTTTACAAAAAATCACTAATATTCATATAGTTGTGTTTTGTTTTTTTAAAGAAATCAACCTTGTCCTTGACTTGCTCAGGCACAGCTGGAGAAAAACCACACAGCCCTCCACAGAGAGGCCTGCAAACCTACCTCCTGTATCCTCAACAGGGCCTTTTAGGCTGCTTGGCAACAATAGCCTGCTTTGCTAACATCTTTTCCCATTATCCTAAGTATAAACTTTAAAACCTTTTTTCAATCTACTTAAAAACTCCAATCCCATAATGCATCTCCCATTTTTATCTCATGGACTCATCTTTTACTTCTTAAATAAAAGAGCCATCAGCAAGAATTCTTTCTCTTTACAAACCAGCATGTTTCCTTGAATCTGTACTAACCTATCCTTCTTTTCTTCTGTTGTAATAGAAGAGGCCCATTATTTATAGCTGTTCTCTCAATCTCCACATTGACCCAACTCAGCCCACCTTTTCAGGCATTTCTCAGACTTCCACTTACCCATTTATGAAAACCTTGTTTTTACCCAGCTCACTTTAACTAAAATGTCTCATACCAATATTTATTCACTGAACCTTCCCTGGTATACTGTTGATATCTCATCAGCATTTGGCATGGTTGTCTACTTTCTAGACTTGGGTTCTGTGACACACGTGTTCATCACTTTTCAGATACCTCTCTCACAACTCCTTCTCATTTTCTTTTAATTCTGTCTGTCCTTGAAGTGTTGGTGGGTTTTATGGATTTTTCCTGACCCATCTTTTCACTGTATGTATTCTCATAGAAATCTCCTCCACACCCTTGATTTCAATTAATATCTTTATGTTCCTTATTCCTAAATCTCTATCTCTAGTTCATATTTCCCTTTTGGATTTTAGAACCCAAATATTCATCTATTGATTTAGCATATGTATGTGGATATCATAATATTTCAAACTCACATATTAGTCTCCTCCTGTGTTTTTATTTCAAAACAAAAACAAAAACCAGTTTTGTCAAAAATCCTGAAGATTAAGGTAAAATTTTGGACTTGGTTTGTCTATGGCAATAAAGATAGACTACAGACTGCAATTGCAGTAGACTGAAGTACAGATAGATTCTGTTTAAAACATGAATTTGTAAGCATTACTAGGATTTGCAGGGAGTAAAGAAAAATATCCAAGGGTGCCTTTATATTGTCTCCCGGACAAAACAGAATAAAGCAAAAGCAGTATACCGTATAAACAGTAGGAGCAATACACATTAAATAAAAATTAGGGCTTGCTTTGAGGGCAAAAATATCAGAAGTCAATATTACCCTGAGGAGTTCAAGCCTTATGCCAGCGCTAGATGGGGGAGGTAAACCTAAACTGCTCTTCCTCATATTAAGGCAGAGACATACAGTTTCTTCTAAAACCCCCTGGTTCCCATCAGCAAACCCTCTTTGGTGGAAAGCATGACCTGTCTAGGTCATAGGCATTTCCATGGAATAAGAGCAAACAAGTATGCATTTCTAACTAAAGGACACAAAAAGAAATATGAAAGAAAAAGAGTATTTTGACAAAGAGTAAAAACAACGAATGACTTATTTATATTACTAAAAACTTTACATCCTGAGATCATCCAATAGGAAATATTAAAAAATTATATATGAAATAAATAAATGAAAGGTAACATTTAAAAATGAACAAGTAACATAGACTATAAAAGTGACCAGGCTTAATAAAGTGTCAAATTTAAATTTTATAAATAAAGACATCTTTTTAAAAATTACTATTTCAATGAATAGATTAAACAAGATGAAGGGAGTATTCATAATCTGGCAGAGAGATTGGAAGAAATTCCCCAGGATGCAGCCCAGACCAATAAGATAGATGATACACAAGAGACACAAAAGATACAAGAAGTGATGAAAAGGTCAAGCCTAACTCCAAAGAGCTCAGAAAGTGAGAAAGACAATGGAAATAGTTGGAGTGAATACTACATTTACCAAACTTGAAACTCAATTGATTAGAACACAGTTTTGAGCACATATAGATCATTCATTCAAATTGCTCATATTCTATTAAAAAAAATTCCAACCAATTTTAAAGAATGAGTATTATATGGACTATGCTTCTGAACAACAATTTAATTCTGTCTAAAACATGAATTTGTAAGCATTACTAGAATTTGCAGGGAGTAAAGAAAAATATCCAAGGGTGCCTTTATATTAGAAGTCATTAATAAGAATATAACATTTCTAAATATCCATAATTTTGAAATGCATTATGATTCACCATTGAATGTAATTATAACAAATATAATAATGTGACTGATGGATTACAGATCTTGATAAGTTGAGTCTAAAATTTGTATAAATAACAAAAGCCCCCAAGTAGTCAAAACACTTCTGAAGAAAAAGGAGACTAGTCCTATGGATAGCAAAATTTCTTCTAAAACTATAGTAATTAAGACAGTGTGACCCTGGTTAGGATATTGACAAGTTGAGAATTATAAGAGTAAATCCCAGAAAGCAACTCCCTGTCTGTGTGGAAGCTATATGAGAAAGAAGTAGCTTTGAAAGAAACTGATTAAAGAAAAACTATTCAATAAGTGCTGCTTGAAATTATTCATAAAAGAGAAAATCCCTGCAAAATTAAATCTATAAAAGCAATCCCAAATGGAGTAAATACTTTAATATCACAGTTTTAAAACATTTAAGAAAAAATATATGAAAATAAATCTATGAAGTTTGGCAGAAAATGTCTTTTTAAACTAAATATACATGCACACAAAACTAACCATAACATAAAAGATTTGTTAATTTAACACATTAAATTATGAATAAATGATAACTATATACAATCAGAGAGAAATGAAAAGATAACCCCAAATCTAGAGGAAAATATATACAATTGGAGATTCAATTATATATACAATTATTGCTCATGTATTAGAGCAATAATACAACAAAAATAAATAAAATGATATAAGGAACAGAAAGTAAGAGGAAAGCTGTCATCACTTATAGGTGATATGCTTGTTTACTGAGATCTATTTTTTAAATTAGCAAAACAGTTTTGTAAAGTGGTTATCTATCAGATTTATCATATCTGTTATGTATAATCAATGAAAAGTGCTATGCCTGAAAGGAAATATAACTATGCAGGTAAAAGAATGAGAAAAAGATATGAACAGGCATCTCACAGAAAAAAAAGACAGGAGGAACACAGAAGACAAAAAACTTAAGGAAGTTCAATCAATTTCATTAATGATTGGTGAAACATAAAAAAGTTCCAAATAAGATACCATTTTACACCCATTCAATTTGCAGAAATGAAGAAATATGACCAAAATCAGGATTTTCAGGATCATAAAATAATGAGAACCTGAAGGAATGCCAGTACTGTGCTGGTAGTGTAAGTTTACAGATTGGAAGCAATTTGACATTAACTTTCAAAGTTGAACACATACCTAACTGACAAGCAGTAATTCCACTTTAAAGAATGTTAGGGAAACTTTTGTGGATTTGATTCAGGAGGCAATCATACAATCTTATTATAATAGAAAATATTTGGAAATAATGTCCATAAACTAAATACTGAGTGAAGAAAATATGACTGTAAGAATATGTATGTAGCTAAAGAATATATTATAAATGCATAGCCCATGGACACAGACAACACTGTGGTGAGGGACAGAGACAGAGAAGAGCAGGGTTTGGGTGGAGGTGGGCAAAAGTGGGGAAGGAATGGGGGACATCTATAATAGTGTCAACAACAAAAATAATAAAAACAATAAAATGTTGAGATTAAAAAAAATTATATATATATATATATGTATATATATGTATATATATATATATATATATATATATATATATATATATATATATGGAATATGAATCTAGAATGACAGGGTTTGATGTTTTCGTTGTTGTTGTTGTCCAATTGTTTTACTAATGCATACCAGTGCCTAAAAATGCCAGTGGCACACAATAAATATTTGATGAGTAAATGAATAGGATATTCATATCATGGAATATAAGGCTATGAAAATAAATAAACCACCACCACAGGCACCAGCATGGATAAGTGTCACAGGCACCAGCATGGATAAGTGTTATGATCAAATTCCGAGTTGTAAACACAAAATTCAGACTAGTCTTATTTATTTTTAAGAGGGAGGGCTAGGGTGCAATGGAATGTTTTAAATAAAAGAAGAAAAGGAAAACACTTTCATAGTTCTAATTTTCACTCATCTAGATACCTAAGAATCCTTTTATCACACCCACTGTGTCACCAGCACCTTCCCAATGGTTTAGTCCAGATCCTTAGTGTCTTTGGCCTAGGTTATATAATACATATAGCTAAAGACAGCTTACTGGCTTCTTTCACTATAATCCATTATTTACCCATAGGCTGGATGATTCTTTAAAAAGAAACATTTGGTTCAAATAATCAACTTAATTAAAATCCTTCAGGTAGTTATTTTTTCCCTGAGTAAAGTCAAAACTTCTTTAACTCATCACATTTTGGTCCCTGCTTATATCACCAATGTCATATCATGTTATTCCTCTTCTTAGAACTTCAGTTACCCTTCAGGCATCCTCTTAAATATCACCTCAAACAAAATGTATCTTACCCTACTTAGCAAGACCATACTTGAGATACTGTATCTTTGCTCAGTCTCTCTAAGAGCAGTCCTTTATTCAATGGTCTATCTATCCCAATGTACACACTTCTTACACTTTCACATTATTGGTGCTTAGAACAGTACATAGTAAGTGCTCATATTAGGATGTGCACTTATTGAATACATATTAGGATATGCACTTATTGAATAAACTCATCTCACAAGGTGAGAAAGAAAATTTAAATCCGATTTTAGACATGGAAAATGGACTGGAGTTGGTGATGTTGTTTACTTACTTATAAAAATAAGGGTAGATAATTGCTTACCACAAAATTAGTAATGCTGATAATTTAATTTCAGAATAAAATATGTACACTAAAAATTACAGTATGTAGTAGCTTCTGAGCTCACTGGAAGTAGAGAGTAATTTTTTAAAATCTTTGTAATTTTAGTGCTTAGTAAAAGCCACAGAACATGGTAAATTCCCCACAAATATATTTAGGATGGTTTCTTCTGTCTCCTATGGATTGTAGTAGGTCCACAGGGAAGCAAAAAAATTAAGATGTCTGAATTACACACTTGATATTAGGCAAATATAAATAATCGAGGTAACTGATTATATTAAAAAATCTACCTCACAACATTACTATGATATAACTCCACCAATATATTTTCTTTTTGAACTATGATGTTAAGTAAGCAAAGTGAAATAGATAGATTAGTATATATCATGGTAATGACTTACATGAATGTCAAAAGTTGATTAAAAGTTCAAGATATTCTCAAAGAAGTATTTATCAAGATATTTATGAGACACCATAAAAACTTAACTTGATAAAGAATCTAGTAACTATCATTCACTAGTTTTTTAAATAGCTCTTTGACATGATTTGCTTAACCGGTGAGAAAAATTGTGTAACTGTTCATTGTTTTTATTCAAAATCCATACCCTAAAATTTAAATGGTGAAGAAACATACTGTTCTTTGTGAACTTTGCAGAATATCTTTATGTGAGCCTGAAACGACCTTGTGGATGCAATTCATTAGAAAACTTGTGAAGAGGTTCAGAATGCCTCTGCAACTGTCCATGTTTATATGAATTGCTTCATTGCATCATTGTCTCCATCATATTCGGGAAATATCTTGGGAATTACTGTTTCTATGTTATATCAGTCCAATTTGTTGCAATCTTTTCCTTCATACCATTGGCTTTATAATTTGAGTGGAAAAAAATATGAAAAATGACTTTCTAGGTCTTAGAAAAGAAGCAAGGAAATGTTTAAGAAAACTATCCTTTGCTCATAGAAATTCAAATCCTGATTCTATTATTCCCTAGCCACATACTCGACTCTGGATACCCTCACAACATCCCTTCCCACCATTTCCTCTCACCTTTTCCTCTCGTCCTCCTGGTAACATGGGGGCAATAACAGCCCCTACCTCATAGAAAGGATATGAGAATAAATTGAGAAAATGCATGCAAAGATTTGAAACCCCACAGGACTCAATAAATGCTGTCTACTTTTACCAAATGAGATACTGTTTTCACTAAGTTATAGCATCTATACTGTATATGACAGCTTGTTTCCCTGAATCTTGTCATAATAAAGAACATGTGTACCTCCTCAGGGCATCCACTGTCCACCCAGTCCTGGCGATGACGATCAAAGCCACTGGAACATCTTCAGAGAAGACCACATTGCAGTTCAGAGAAAGAAGTACGGGTGAAAAGTGAGAAGCAAAAAGAAAAAGAAAGATTGGTAAGTAGGTAATTCTCAAATTTTCAGTTTAGCACAACAGGCTTTCTTCTGCAGACCTGTTGATTGGAGCAGCCATAAAGTATTAACAGTGTTCTGGGTCACAGCTCACTCCCATGTGGTGATTTGAGTAGGTCAAACCTGGCTACAAATGACTCCACTGAGGCCCACTCCACTGTGCAGGACACTGGGCTCCCAACCCAAAGGTAAGACCACTTGCTATTCTAAGTAGTTGGTTTTCCTCATTTCTGTTCTCATCACCCAAACAAGTGGCTATAGAAAAACATTTTGCAGGTCTTATTTTTCAGAATATCAGATCTTTTTATTTGTTTTGTTTTTCTTAAGTTTTAAAATTTAAGACACATAGTCATACAAACTGTACTGCATTGTAAAGCATTAACTCAGCAGGTCCAGGGTGTTCAACCCACATATTCCAAAGAAATAACCAGCCCTTGGGAGATACAGCCTGTGGAATATCCTGCTGGATAAATGCAAGATAGTTTATGATAACAATATGATTTATGGTGAATATCTGTTTTATTCACCTGGAGCCCTGGGGCAGGGGGTGGGGGGAGGACTGGAGACTAGAGATAAGGTTAGTCATGGAGAATTTCATACCTATGTGACTGACCCTCCATAAAAACCCTGGACACCGAGACTTGGATGAATTTCCTAAGTTGGCAGTGAATGCTGTGTGTTCAAAAATTGTTGCTGGGGGAAGTACTGTCTGTATGACTCCATTGAAAGAGGACAATGGAAAGTTTCTCTTTTGGACTCTGCCCTAAGTGCCTTTCGCCTTTGCTGATTTTAACCTCTATCCTTTTGCTATAGAAAATGGCAGCCTTGGGTATAACAGCTCTTCTGAGTTCTGTGAGTCCTTCTACTGAGTCATTCAATCTGAATGCATTACTGAGAATCCCTAACAACACTATGATTAGGTCATATCTAAAATGTCTACTTGAGCAAGCACTAGGCTAAGAAGATTTTGTTCACTCTTTCTTCCTCGACTGGGATAATTTTCTTCCCTATAGCTACAGTCCATTGATTTTTTTTAAGAAACACAGAAATTACTCTCCAGAGCCTATTCTGATAAAGTTTCATAATTGCTATTGATCATATATTATTTTACTATGTAACTTTTTTTCTTTATATAAAATATCATGTGCTTATTTACCAAACTTTATTGTTAACATTTTAAAATTATGGCCAGTGTCATATATGATCATACTTAGTATATCTGACACATGCTTTCATTTTTTTATTAGAAATTCAAAGTACTTTTGTCAGTTTATTAAAATTAAAGATTTAAATTGCTCCTGACTTTAATATCTCTATAGTAATTTACATACAACATATATGAATCCATATTAATAAATGTTAACCTAAAGATAATTAAATATTTAAAAAAAATAAATGAAGACTGTTCAATTTTTGTCTTAAATTTCCTTATAGGGCTTATAGTGCTACTATTTTTTCCCACTTGTTTTGCAGAGGGTCCACATGATGACTTTTTCTAAGAATCTTTGCCAGAGATTATGTACTATGGCATGAATGAGCATAATTTAATTCAAGTGGAATGTGAAAACAACTTTACTGTCAACATAAAAAAACACCATATCTATCATTCTGCCCAGACATGATTCATTGGAGCTCAGATATTTTATGCCTTCCATCTGTGTTGAATGAGCATAAGTACAGAATAAATATCAGTGTGTGACCTGGCACGCTAACTTTGAGAATCCCCAGTTGGTCAAGGCTATCTCTGATTATGTAAAGAAAATCTAACATTTAGAGTCTATTTAATTCCACTTGAGTTAGATGGTTGTTCCCTCCTGTTCGTTTTGCTTTGCAAGTTTGTTTAAATACTGAAAAATATACATACTGACATTGTCTTTTGCAAGATGAGGAAATATAGATTTTCTAAAATAACAATATTTTGGAGAGCCACCTGACTACAAATAATTAAATGGAATAGATCATTTTAAAATGAAGTTTGTTTTTACATACAGTATGGCAAATGTATTCAAAGACAGTGGCAAATAACAACTTTTACTGTATTTTATAACAAGATTGTAGTAATCTTAAATTTATAAGTCAATTGAAATTTTATCTTAAGTAATTAGTTCTTTCTTTATTTTTTCAAAAAATGTATTTTATTGATTTTTTACAGAGAGGGATAGAGAGTGAGAAACATTGATGAGAGAGAATCATCGATCAGCTGCCTCTTGCACCCCCCCCACTGGGGATGTGCCCCCAACCAAGGTACATGCCCTTGACCAGAATTGAACCTGGGACCTTTCAGTCCACAGGCCAATGCTCTATCCACTGAGCCAAACCGGTTTTGGCCAGTAATTAGTTCTTTAAATGGTTAAATCAATCGCAGGGAAAAGTACAGAAGCACTGCATTTTGCTTGACTTATTAGATGATTCCCCAGTTATATATGTAAAATAAGGTTCTACTGAAAATATGTGATTCAATTAAGCAATTTATTCATTTATTCATAATTGGTTCTCTATTAATTGATCTGCTGTTTACTAATTGCTAGGGTAGGAAGTGTTGACAATGGCAAACACCAATAAGATTTGGTTTGAAAAGCTCATGCATTCTGTAGCTTACAGTGCTTTAAAAATTAACACAACTGCCCCAGCTTATTTGACTTCTTGGATAGAACTTTGGCCCATGGACTAAAAGGTCTTGGGTTTGATTCAATCAAGGTCAACCCCCCACCCCTCCACTCTCTTTCTCACTCCCCTTTTCTTCCCCCTTCCTTCCACACTCTCTAAAAATCTTCCTTGGGTAAAGATTAACAACAACAACAACAAAAATTAACACAACTGAATGTTGCTTTTTTTAAAGCATTTTTATAACCTAATATAATCTAAATAGCACCCAAACACAATTATAAACAAGTATGTGTATGCTATAAATTATTAAGAAAAACCACCTTTATGTTATTTCTTATGTTATTTCTTAATTTAAAATAAACCAAAAATCATTTTTGAGATCAACTTCCTCTCTCTACTGAGCTGCTATGTATTTTTTTCTAAAATACAGACACATTAACAATGCTGTACTCCAGCATATTGATTTCCAGATATTTTAAAAATATGTTTTTTATTGATTTCAGAGAGGAAAAGAAAAGGAGAGAGAGGTAGAAACATCAATGATGAAATAGAATCACTGATCAGCTGCCTCCCACATGCCCCCAACTGTGAATTGAGCTCACAGCCAAAGCATGTGTCCTGACCAGGAATCAAACTGTGAACTCCTGTTTCATAGGTTGATACTCGACCACTAAGCCACACCTGCCAAGCAATTTCCAGACATTTTTAATACTGTTAGCAAACTGACTCTTCTACATTATAACCATCTAGTATTCGTTTTAAACTAAATTCCTGGATATATCTGTAGAAGAAAGATACTCTGATAATTTGGGTTCAGGAATTTTCATTGTAAATAGTCATCCAATGTGATTCTTGCCACACTGAAATCTGAAAACCACTGACATCCTGTATATGTTCCCATGGCAGGCCCCTTCCCACTCCTCCCACCCACCACTACAACCTGTTCTTATGTCCCTTAGTGCCCCTCCCTGGATGTGCTCTTTGAGGTCCCTGACTTTGAACCTGCTGTTACTTGTGTCTAGAATACCTCCCTCCTGTCGAATCAGTAAACCCAATTGAACGGAAGCTTATCTACTCCAAGAAGCATCTACTTTCTTCTCACCCAGAAGGGTTAGCAATCCGTTCTCATTGCCCTCCAATATCAACCCAATGTCACATGCTAGTATCTATTTCACTACAATTGGTGGTGCTTGAGCTTATCTTAATAAGACCTCCAGGAGAACATAGTTCAAGGGGAGGATTTGGAGTTCAACTGCTGCACTAGAATCTTGGCTTGGGCACAATTCAGGTATATAATCTGAGGAAGTTTTCCCCCCCCTATCTAATCTTGTTTCCTCATATGCAAAATTAGGTAGGAGAGGTTATGTAAAGATTAAAGCTAGAGTTTGCTACACAGTAAACATTTAGACAATAGCAGCTGTTTTTCATACCTAGTCATGACTTTGTAGTATACATGTAGAAAGTTCAATAATTGTTAAAAATGAATCAGTGAGATTTTTATATCAACAGTATTTTGGAAGATGTTTAGGAATTAATTGTGTACCATATAAATGTGAAATATATCTAGGAATCTATAATAATAAAAGGGTAATATGCTAATTAGACAGAATGTCATTCTGGACATCATTCCAGATGAAGCCAGGGCCAGGGGGAAGACTGTGTCGGCAGCTGGGTGAAGGAAGGCTTACTCTTGCACAAGTTTCATGCATCATGCCTCTAGTTAGTATGACAAAATCTTATAAGAAATATCCAAGTTGCTCTCAAATATGGGACAACTCTTTATTCAATATTTTGTAAATATTTCTCAAAAACTGACCTAATTATGTTTATTTAAGACATATTTAACATTGCACATCTATTTAATATGTATCCTAGCTTTGATATTTCTAATGTTTTTTGGAAGAAGTTATTTTCTTCTCAATCTTATCTATTGTAATTCCAAAACAAATGGATAGAGAGATATACTTCAAATTAATTGTACTATTCTTCTCTCACATTCAATCAGATGTTGATTTCAAAGCCCTCAGGGACCATGTTAAGTGAACCCTATTAAATTAGCAGTCTAGAAAACAAATGATAGTTTGAAGTATTTATCCAGTGAAGAGACTAAAGTGTAAATCTCTAACATATCTCAGTTTTGAAGAAAGATGTCAGAAATGACTTTTTTTTTTAATAAGGGTAATATATTCAGGCAAAGGCAATAGATGTGAATATTCATCCTATCTAATAAAAGAGTAATATGCAAATTAACCATCACTCCACTAAGCCAACAGGTCATGCCCACCAGCCAATCAGGAGCT